CTCAGATTGTGTATTATTCGTTGTGCAGTCTGGATTTGAAAGCTACCCTGTTTTTTTTTTTTTTTTTTCAAAAGAAAAGTGTTGTTCAAAGAAAATGACCTTACAAATTAAATGACACAAAACTAGAATTGAAATTGTTGATGATAAAAAGCAGAGCGATGGAAGGTTGATAGCTGCGAGACGCTCCAAAGAGCATGTCTCACCCCACATCACCCACAACTCGAGTGAGTCGTCCAACCGCAAGGTCTCCTGATTGAAAAGTTATCAGCGACGAGATGTCACACACAAACACACGTGCACATGTGCCCCTTATCTTGTTCCCGCATGTCACCTGTTTTAATGAAACACTCCCCTTATCCCCTCCCATCTCTCTCTCCCTATATTCCCACAAAGTGAGTTTGGTGGGGATCAATCAGCCAGGCTAACAGAGTGCGAATTGTTCTCCTACATTCCTATCTCCCTTCAGCACTTCAGCTGTCAGCGTATGAAGATACGGGCGGAGTTCTGTCTTCTGTCTTCAGTCCGTGGCTTGTAGTTGTTTTTGATTGCTATTCCCATTTGAGACGGAGACTTTGTAAGAGTTTTGGTGGAGTTGAGATTAAACTTAGTAAAGTTTCTGGGTGTTGTCATATTGTGTGACATGTGAGCTTAGGATTTAGGTACGCTGCATCACTTAGCAAAGGTAGGATAAGTGATTATTATGACTACTAGAATAATCAGAGCTTCTGAGTTATGTCAGTCCTCAGACAGACCCTTACAGGCTTTATGAACTAAATCTGTAGTTCTGATTTTATGTGATTCTGAAAGTACGTTTTCTGCCAGTTGAAATGTAATGTTGTGAATGTTATCCTTATGGCAGTATCATAAAAGCTTTACAAAGCCTCTAACAATACAAGATGCATGCTCTGTCGTTCCTTTTGATCTCACCCCAGCCATGACATCTTTGATCCTCTCTTCTCTTCCCCTCCACTCAACGCAATATTAAAAAACCAAAAATACAATGCCATGGCTGCTTTAAAGGAACCCAAATCCTTGTCATCATACATTAATAACCGTTCACACACCACACACACACCAACACAAACAACACCAACTTAGACACAGAGAGAATAATAAAATGCTACGCCTTTACGATCTTTCCTTTTTCTTCTTATTGCTTTATTCCCCAATGTCACGCTTTGCAGCGGCGCAGAACTTGAGCTCTCTTCATAAAAACCACACACTGCCAAGGTGAGACAAAAAATAATGAGAAACTTTAACGATTTGAGCCTAATCTTTCTCCCCCAACTCTGCACGTATTTATGCAAAACGTCACAGGCAGAAAGCAATTGGAGTGTTGTTTTGCTTCTCCTCCCTGCAAAAGTTAGCTATCAAACTAGCTGGGGCGGCTAATGTTTTTCTAATAAGAGCTCACCTCTAATTTCAGTCAAACGAGGCAGTTGGTGCAGATTAGCGGAGGCAATTTTCTGCTTCAGATTCCATTATTAAAACACTCCTGCTATCAGAAAGTTTCTCTTGTTGAATTGAAAAAAGTTTTTTTTTTTCTTTTTACTTGAGCTTGGATTAATACCTTGGGGCTATTGTTGCTGTTATCTCCTACTTTTAGGGAGTAATTCAGAATGCCGACCAGCTGTCGGAGTGCAAAGTCAAACATCAACCAGTTGTATAATTTAAATTATGTGATTGAAACTCTATGCAACTGATATTAAACTGACCAACACAGAAACACCATCTTCATTTTCACTGCGACAATATAAATTCTCTGTTTTTAGGCGCTGACCTTGGCAAAAATCCTCTGCGTTTAATCTCATGGACATAATGTCCCTTTTAATTAGAGCCCTTCAACCCTAAAACCTATATCCTGTAACATATGGCTACTGAGTACTGTAATAATAACTCAAGCCAGCATTGCTTTAACATAATTGATCTCTGTTTGTCTGCTCTTGTTATCAACTAGTGAATTATATTGACCCTGAGCTTATCAGCGTCACAACTGAATGACTGTTAACCAAACACAATGCAAAGATCACTAATATTCAGCTGTCATCCTGAGCACAGAATGCAGATTGTGATGGTTGCCATGGGTTACTGTTTGTCCATGCAAGCTGCAAGGGCTATTTGTCATTTGATACGTCACTGGCACATTCTGTCTGTCTCTCTGTCTCTGTCTCTCTCTCTCTCTCTCTTTCTCTCTCTCTATCTGTCTCTCTGTCTCTCTCGCTCTCTCTCTGTCTCTGTCTGTCTCTCCTTCCCTCTCTGTCTGTCTGTCTGTCTGTCTGTTCGTCTCTCTCTCTATCTTGTCTCTTTATCTCTGTCTGTCTATCTCTCTCTGTCTGTCTGTCTGTGTGTGTGTCTCTCTCTCTCTCTGTCTGTCTCTGTCTGTCTGCCCCCCCCCTCTCTCTCTCTGTCTGTCTGTCTGTCTCTCAGGTTGCATTCACTTCTCTTTTCATGAATATTCTCTCCGCCAGTGATTTATTTAATCCGTTCGCTCTACCCTCCACTGCACATGCAAGCACACACAGACAGGCACACACTCAGACTACACAATACACATACCGGTGCAGAGAAATTTCTCCTACAGTCTTCGTCGCGCAGCAGTTTATCCCATATCCCCACATGGTCGCAAACACACACACATTTATTGTGTGTACTGTCAGTGAAGGCAGGGTCTGTTGAGTTCATTCATATGTGAAGGACGCATGATTCTGTAATTGCTTTTAGGGGTGAGGGCAGTTCTCTGGGTGGGTGTGTGCATATTTGTGTGTGTGTGTGTGTGTGTGTGTGTGTGTGTGTGTGTGCATGTACACATACATGATTGTGTATGTGAATATCAGGTGGTCAGCTTCCCAAAATAAGTAAGCATGTCCCATCATGTTAAATGAAGCCATGCGTTTCCTTATCAAATTGAACATTAATTCTATCTCTTCCCCTCTCCGTCTCTTACTCTTTTTTTTTTTTTACAATGAAGTGCTGTATACAGACTGAAACGTGACTGCAGGATAACATATTGATTTTCATTAGAAAATTAGAAAATTTTAGATAATAAATGTCAAGCGGTCTTGTCTAGTGTGACACAGAGAGAGCAGACAGAGGTAGAGGATCTCTATTTCAGTTCGAGTTGAAGTTCAGAGTTTATACCTGACCTTGGAAACAGCAGTTGACAGAACGATCTCACCTCAGGAGGTAATAGATATTGTAATGCGAAAAAATAAATTAATCTGTGTATTAAGTTTATGTGATATGAGAAAACTCAAGAACAACTACAACAAATAGACCTTGTTTTGTCATCATATTCTATTCTATTCTGGTCTATTATATTCTGTTTTGTTCTATTTAATTACTTTCTGTTCTATTCTGTTCTATTCTATCTTTTTTATGTTTCATTCTGTTGTGCTCTGTTCTGTTGCCAGTGGATTGCCTGTGCATGTGCGAGCTTGTACAGGATGCATTGCTGTGAATAATAAGTTGTGTCTTTGTGTGTATGTATGTGCGTGTACATATCCATATCCCAATCCTTCCGGTTACGAGTTCTGTCACAACAGCAGGTAAATTACTACAAGCAACAGAGCACTCAAGGATTACCCTCATGTAGGATTAGCATTCACTACCTGCATATGTGTGCGTGCGTCTGTGTCTGCGTGTGTGTGTGTTTGTGGGTGTGGATACAATTGTGTGCTTTTGTCTACACACATGTACTGTATGTGTGAGTAAGATAAAAAGAAAAGAGAAAGTTTGACTCTGACTCCTAAGCTGCTTTGTCAATGCATAATTCATCTCTCTCCACAAACTGCACCTTGAAGCCTTTGAAACTGTCTTAGCTACTCCAACTGCAACTAAAACAAACCATAAATAATCTCAAGTGTTTTTTTATTTTCTTTTGCTCTCCAAAAAATTTAATGACACAAAACAGAAATTGTTTGCGCCGCTGTTATTGTGGTTTCAACTAAGCTTAACTTCAAGGAGTTAGTAACGTTTAGTCACTTGCAACTCAACCTGTTGTTGTTGAAGCTTCAATCTGGCAATCACAGTTGAATTTATCGACTGCTCTGGTAAGTCCTGTGTTTCTTTACTCTGAGCAAAAAAGACTGCTGTGTGTCTTTCTCATCAGAGACTGAAAGTGTAGGTTTATCCTGTAGCTGCACTTATGCTAATGTTATCTTGAGATAGCATAGTGATTTTACAGCTTTACAGAGCCTTGTCTAAACATTAAAGGAAATTACATTCTTTTTACAACCTGGGTCTTAGTTACGGCTGCTTACTTGTTCCACACTTTCTTGTAAGATCACGTCTGATCTCAGCTTAAAGTTTGTTATGAAATTGTATCACATCCGATGCGAATGATGAAATAATGATGAAAACTATAACAGTAATACCCAGGTTGTAGGTTAAAAGCAGGTTTTCTTCAAATCATGAAGAGGAATTTACTGCTAGTTATTTAATCAATAATTACAGTAATAATAATAATGATCAACCTTTTAGAGTCGCGACCCCCCAAAATAATCAGTGTAACGTGAAAACTACCGAACTCACACAGGAAAAGCATTGCTTTGCACACTAGGAACATATAGCATAATATAAAATATAAAAAATACCAGATTTTTCTATGTTTTCTTTCTGGAAAATGTTCCGGGTACTGAGTACAATTACCTGCTTCTCTTTCTCCTTTTGTCTTATTTGAATGCGTTTTCAAAAAACAGTAAGAGAAGAAATAGGGTATTAATACTAAGAAATTGTATTAATTAGCAAATTTCTTGTTGATGTTTATGTTAATAGTAAATAACTGATGCAGCATCCCTGGCAGTAACATCTGGTAAAAGTCTAACCCCTGTTTTAACAGATGTGGCTCTGTTAAAACAGACCATCCAATGAACTGTCAAAAATGTACAACATGATAAGTGTAACGAAGAGATCTGAGCATGTACAGTAACTGAAGACATTCCCAGTTGGCAGCGCTGTCATAATCACACTGACCCCCGTCTGTGCCCTCTGTTCCTGTGTAGACCCCGACAGACTGTGTCTCTGTGTACTGAGCTGCAGGCCAAGGTGCTCCAGTGCTACGGAGAAAATCCACAACAGACCTTGCTCTGCTCCAGCCTGGCCAAACAGTACATGACCTGTGTCCAGCAAGCCAAGGTATGTGAGGGCCTCGGGTGTGGGAGCATGAAGGAAAGTGTGTTGTCTTTTTTTAATAGGATATTTGTTTGAAGGTTTGTTTGTGTGGGTGTATTAGTGTGTTTGTAATATCTGTGAATGATGCAGGTAACGCCACTTTACTTTTGATCAATTTCCCACTCCCATTGTTTTTTTTTTTTTTTTTTTATTTTGCTGTTATCACTCCTTGATCATTCCCTTTGAGTAACATACTTGGCCAGAGTACTTGAACTAGCTCTTTTTCCTTTAAAGATAAATGTCTTTTAAAGATAATTATTTTGTGAATTTTTTACCTTTATTTGACAGTGACAGTGAAGAGGCAGAAAGGAAATGTTGGATAGAGAGGGGTATTATACGTAAGAAAGGTCGGCGGCTAGAATCGGACCAGCAACGGTTGTGACCGGGTGGTTTGTGCTGTAACTATTCGGCTACAGAAGCGCTCCAATAAATGTTTTAATTTCCCTCCAGTTTTTTTAAAAGACAACAAAAGGATAGCAGTTAATTAGTCAGACCTGGAAGGAACTTGACAGTGACACTGACAGTGGAACAAAAAGGTGAAGAGACAAATAATCCTTTCATTCCTTATACAAAATCAGTTAACTTCTGAGGATTGTAATCTGCATGTTGGTTACTTTGACACTTCAAATAGGAAGCTAAATCAATGAGACATGCTTATTGAGCGGATTTATAAGTCATCAGGCGTGCACTGTGTTTTGGAACTTTCTGATAGGAAGATTACACCGTTATTAGTGTATTAAAATCAGTTTTGGCATTCAGCTCTTTGAAATGCATTCTGCTTTCTGCTGATGCTTTCGCAAATAGTGTTCAGACCCTACGCTTATCTACAAAGTGCTTATTTTACCCAATTTCTCCATCAAAAAACAATAATGAATGGGGTAATTTGCACATTATTATCGTGACAAAACGCACTGATATGGCTCCAAAGTAGATAAAAGGCACAAAACAACAATTGGTGAATCTGGCAGTTTAAATGGTCGATAACAGCAAGGCAAAGGCTCACAATAAAAGCAATCAGTCTTTTTAAACTGGTTCAAAAGATCCATTTGCCAGTGGGATGGGGCTCTTTGGGGAAAAAAACAGTGTATATGTTTGTATGTGAGTCAGTTTGGGGTTTTTTTTTGCGAGCGTGTGTTGTATGAATTCAGATTATGAGTGTAAGAGTAAAGTGCAGAGTAAAGGCAAGCTGTTTGTCTCCTTTTTGAGGCATGTGTTTAATTCAGGTTCAATCAGGCATATCCTTGACAGAGTGAGTGCAAATCAGTCAGAGAAAGAAAGAGACAGAGAAAACACTGAAGAGACAGAAAGAGAGCGTTAAAGGGCAAATGAATGAAAAAGAAAGCTTCAGTCTCTTGACAAATATATCAACTCTATGCCCATCCCTCTGTGGGTGAAAGGGGAAAGTGTTGTGGGCTAAAAACCAGAATAGGCTTTAGACTGTCCTGAGAGAAAGAGAGAAATGAAAAATTCTTCGCTCCTTTCCTGGTGTAAGACGGTGGATTTGACTGATGTTGATAAAGAAGGTCTAGACTGTAGTTTTCCATCCAAATGTAACGAGAAAATAAAGAAGAAAATGCAAATAAATGCGTTTTCATCCATACATAGAGTTAGTTCATCAAGATAAACAGCTGGTGGTGCTAATTGTCCTGTCCAGTTCCATAAAACCATTGCAGAAGAAGAGGGCACAACAAGATGATTAATTAAAAGAACACTGCAGGCCAAACTATTGTATTCACATGTTAAAAAGTTTGGTGTGAAATTCATATAATTCAAACAGTTGTCAAAACGTCTTATCGCAGACATCTCCTCTGTCTAACCTTTCTTTATTGGGATAATCTAACAGCGATGAAATCTTGCTTTTCAAGAGGGACCTGCGCTACTCTTTTAAAGATAGTTGGATTTTCAGGTTGACCTTTAAGTCTTCTGAAGAGTGCTCTATCTCCAGCTCAGACATAAAAAGGCATATAAATGTTTTTAGATTCAAGATAGAAATGTTTAAATGTAAAAATATCTCATATTTTAGTGTCCTATTAAAATACCCACATCCAATATTCTATCCTTTACTTCTCTATTTCTCTTTTATTCACTCATCTTATGTATAATCTGCTCATCCTTGGATCTTTCATGCCGCTGTCACTGTTGATCCATCTCTCTCCCCCAGTTCCAGTTCCCGTTCCCATCCTCCATGTGTCCCTCTTCCTGTATTAAAGCCTCTTTCACTGCCCTTCACTGCACACTTTGTCACATTAGCCAGTGTATTACCTCTGATCTGCACTGCTAGCCATGGAGCTCTGTCTCAGTCGAGGTATTAGTTGAGTTTGGCTTACCGGTCGGGTGCTATCCCTTCCATGTTCATTTGCACGCACAGCCTAGTCACACAGCCTTGTTTCAGACCTACTACTGTCTTTGTCGAACACACTCAAATTCCAAAGAGAGGGGCCCTTTTAGGACCCCTAGAGATAAAACATATTCATATAGGCAACTAAGAGCTAATGTTTCTAATTCAAATAGTAATAGTAATAATAATAATAATAATAATATATATAATAGTAAAAAAGCAACAATATATGCTGCTGTAGTTTTAGATCTGAAACCTTTCCTACTTTAAAACCTCTCGCTTCTATGATTATTTGCATCCATATTTTTGGTCTGTTTCATTTAGATCATCTTTAACACCAGTGGCATAGATTGGACAGCAGTCAATAATTGAGTGTGACGTACACACTGGAGCTCTGTCAATGTCGATTGAAATAAACATCCATAAATCTGCTTTGAAAAAGTTGCTCCTTGTAACTCCAGAACTTGCCTGAGAATCATCAGGTTTCAAGTTTTCTTCAGTGTTAAAGTAATCCAGTGATAGAGTGTCTGTACATCCAGCATTATACCGCAATCAAGAACTGCTAATAGTTCATTTGGTATACTTTTAATTGTGTCAATTTGCCAAAATGTATATTAATATAAAAAGCGGGGCTCAAATTGAGGCCCACAATGTAACTCATTTGGGAGCAATTGTCTTGATTTTGTCTGAGGAGGGTCCCACAGTGTCAGACTTTTAAAACCCCTGATCTAGTCTGTTGTTGCAGTCTGAAATCTACCTCTTGAAAACTTCAATCATACAACTGAAAAAAAAAATAGTTTGAAGACTTCTGTCCATAAAACATTCCCCCGTTGTAGAGCTTGCAATTTTCTCAGTTTCTTATGACGGTTAATATGTGCTCAAATAACACATTGGAATGAAACCCAAATGACTGAAACTGGGTCAAAAAGAAAGGAAAGACGGGTGAATCTGCCACCGGAGACTCCTGATCAGTCAGCCTTAATGAAAAGAAATGAGTGGGCAGTCCCAAGACCCCTCTGGACATGCAGGCGGCTGTCCAGTCTGCCTGTCTATAAATGGATCTGACAGAGCCAGCAGCTTGGCAGAGCAGAGCACTTGGACGGGGGTTTTACTAGGAAAAGTTTCAGTATTGCTGCAGGTGGTTAGGGGTCAAAAGGGAGCAATATGCACTGCAGAGTCAGTCATGAGAGAGCACTGGATCGTATTTCATTGTGATATATAATATGCCGTAGACCCTGGAGGAAACATTTTGTTAACATTGAGACTATTAATAATTTCTCTAAACTATGTGCCCGTGTGCTTGTTTCAAATGTGGAACAGAAGGTTTATTTGTCATGAAGGTAATTACATTCAGCTGTAATATGTAAGTTTTTTGAAAATGTTGAGTTTTTGCATTCAGAAAATAAAGAATTTAACAACCACATTACTTAGAATAATGTCAGATTTTTCAATGTTGGATAGCTTATTTAGGATAGGAACTTTTTGAATTCCATTACATACATGCCCATCGTCATTTTGAGTAGACCACTTATCTGCTCCACTGAAGGACAGTAATAATTCACCCAAAATATGTTTCGAGGTGCTCTTTGTAAAGGAGGGCCGTTTTGTTCAAACAAACAAGCAAAATAAACTGACTGTTCACAGGCAGATAAAATAGCTAGCAAGTTAGAAAAGACGTTTAGATGCAGTAATTTTTCAGCTTTGTGCGACAATAACATGACTGCTCAATAGACAGCAGAGCTTCTAGCCTGGTGAAAACCTCCCGACAGCTTAAAAGCTCTGTTCTTTTGTTATCTGTATGTGCTTGTAAGGATTTTCTAAAGCAGATGCATTCTTCTCTGTGATTAAAGGGAGAATGCTGTATCTCTCTCCCCCCCAAAAAAAAAAAAAAAAAAATCTTTGTCTGAAGTTGATACCTTACGGTTCTTGGTTTTCTTGAATATAGTTATCTGTCTCTCTTTTGTCTCTTTTTGTACATGAAGCTTGACGCTTATCGAATACCATCAGTCTGCCTACAACTCTTTTTCTTATTTTTCCATTTTCTGGCGTTCTCTGTATTCTGCAGTCATGTCAAGTAAAGTTATAGTTTGTGTACAGGAACACAGCAGCAGACCCATAGTGTCATGGATAGGATCGGTTCTGTCATTTTCCACCCAACTGCCACTGACTTTCCTAGAGTTTATTCATGTAGGCTCTACTGTATATATCTTACTCTTTGTCAGCCTGTCTGTTTGTCAATCAATCTGCCAATGAAACCAGCAGCCTGCTTATCTGTCTCTTCTCTGCCAGTGTCTTGATCTGAACATCACTAGAGTATCTATCTCACTTTTTCTGTCTCCCGCTTGAAGTCCACCCAACTCACTATCTACAGTTGCACAGCTTTCCTTATATGTCACTCAAAAAGTTCTTTTATCTTTTATGATTCATGCATCCACACACATACATACACAGGCTTTTCACACATTCTGCCCTCTGCCATCCATTAAAGACAGTTGCTTCAGGATATGGCCTTGCGCTCTGCTATCACTCCTCTGTCCCTCTCCTGTCAGTGTCTCTGGTCGGCCCATTGTCATGCATATGGGACCTTATGGGTGTGTGTGTGGTGTGGTGTGGTGTGGTGTGTGGG